TGGCTGCAGGATATTACACTGTAGGGGTATTCCAAACACAATGTATTTAGCCGTTAGACTTTTGTTGGACATTTATTTCTAATTTTTGGCTCTTCCTGTCAAAATTGCAGTCAATGCCCCTAGTCCTTACTTCTGATAACTAGCTTTGGGTGAATGCTTAGAAATAAAAGCAGTGGGTCAAAGAATGTCAACATTTTAAATTCTCTTGACTTAACATGGCCAAGTTCTTTGCATCATTTGGCCTTTCCCCTGGCAGTGCATGAGGGTGCCAGACTCCCCACTTAGTTTACATGAAATGTTACCATTAAAAAGCCTTGCCAGTTAGACATGGGAACACTGTTTCAATATGCTTTGGTGCTTCTCTTGATTGCCAATAAGGGTGAACAGTTTTCAAAGATTCACTTGCCATTTGTATTTTTTTGTGTGAATTGTGGGTTTATGCCTTTTTTAATAGTGTGATGCTTGGTTGTATTATTAATTGACAAGCGTTCTCTCTCTGTTAAAATTATCAGTACTTTACTGTATTTGTTGCGAAGTTTTTCCCAGTCTGTCGTTTACCTTTCAGTTTTTCATATGGCGTTTCTGCATGTTTTCCAGGTAGAAATGTTTAATTTTTAGGTGGCAAATGTATCAATCTCTTTTGCTTGTGGCTTCTCTCATGGTGATTTTCTATTTAGAAAGTAATTCCCTGTTTTGGTAGCAAAGACATATTATTCTATGTTTTCTTAGAGTGTTTTGGCTTTATTGTTTTTTACATTTAATTCATCTGGACTTGAACTGACCTTGGCTTAAACTGCAGGATACAATTCTAACCATTTTTCTTGAAAGATATCAGTGATCTCGGTAGCATCTGTTGTGTATCTCTTCTCACTAATTTGAAACCACCTTTGTCACATATTACATTTTTATGCATTTTTATGTGTACTAGGGTGTTTCTGGGTTGCCTGTTCTGTTCCTCTTAGGCTAACTACTGAGCCTTACCATTATGCCTCACTTAACTTTTTTTGTTGTTGTTGACTAGAGCATGTTTTAATATCTGGTAGAGTGAGTTTTTCTGTATCACTCTTCTTTTGCCAAACACCTCTGGGTTATTCTGATCACCTATTAACATAAATCAACTCTCACAAATGAGAACCATCTGCAAAAGAAAATCCTGTTAGAAAGCTGATTGGAATTGCATTAAACAAATACTAATTTAGGAGTATGGGGGCAATTGCTTTCTAGGAGGTAGGGTATGTTAACAGAACTCAAACAGGGAAGTGATGGCCTGGACCATGCCGAGTGTCTAAACGCAGGGGCTGACGGACAGGAGGGCCTTTCTGTGTGGCTGGAGAAGGAAGTGTTTTGAAACAAGAGAGCCAACATCCAGGGAGAAAGGGGATGAAGGGGATGGCTTATCCCCTCCTGCCCCTCCCACTGGCCTGAGTTTGAGTCCCACTGAGGAGAGGGCTCAGGGCAGAATTAATGGACTTATCTTCAAGGGCAAAGCTGTGGGGTGTGGGGTCCCACTTATCTGCTTAGGGGCTCTGGTGACAAACCTGAGCAAGACTCAGGAGGGGGCATCCCCTCCCTTGTGAACCCAGAACCCGGCCACTCTAAGGCACTGCCACGCCCGGCGGTTCCATCAGCAGCGGGTAAAGGTCCCTCAGAGCACTGATGAGGACAGGCCCTGGGCACAGCAGAGGAGGGGAACTGTATCTTTCTGCCGACCACACCCAAACCAATGTGTTCAGCTGAATACCAGATTATTGATTTCGCCCTCAAACATAGGTCTCCCCTCCAGAAATTTTCATCTCCACCAATGGCTCCACCATGGTACACTCGGGTCAAAAGCCTCTTTGCCTCACCCCCAAATTAATCTGCCTGCTGACTCTGTCTTCAAAATGAATCCTGTGTCAGACCACCTCCACCTCTCTCTGCCTTGTCTAAGCCATGACCATCTCCTGCCTGGAAGCCTCCTGCTGGCCCTCTACTTCCTTTCTCTCCATAGCAGCAGGGGGATTTTTTTTCCAGCTTCTCAATGGGCTTTATTTACGGTTTGAAATCTACTTTAATAGTGAAAAGGGCTTAAATGTTATTTTTTGTAGCCTCTAATTTTTTAATTGAAGTACAGTTAATATATAATATGTAAATTACAGGTGTGCAAATTTGCAAATATTGCAAAATTCCCAATTTTGGAAGGTTATGCTCCATTTGTAGTTATTATAAAATATTGGCCATGTTCCTTGTGTTGTACAGTGTATCTCTGTAGCTTGTTTTATGCCTAATGTTTGTACTTCTTAGTCCCCTACATTGCCCCTCCCTCTTTCCCTCTCATCACTGGTAACCACTAGTTTGTCTTCTCTATCTGTGAGTCTGCTTCTTTTTTGGTTGTATTCACTAGTATGTTGTATTTTTTAGATTCCACATTTAAGTGATAGCATACAGTATTTGTCTTTCTCTGTTTGACTTGTTTCACTTTGCATAATGCCCTCCAAGTCCATCCATGTGGCTGCAAATGGCAACATTTCATTCTTTTTTATGGCTGAGTAGTATTCCATTTTATATCTATACCACTTCTTTTCTTATGAGGAATGTCCTTTATTTCTTTTTATCTAAATGTCTCAATATGTTGAACACTGATTTTCTCCTACCCCCATTTTTAATTGAATTATAGTCAGTTTACAATGTTGTATCAATTTCTGGTGTACAGAATAATGTTTCATTTATATATATATATACAGACACACACACACATATACATTACTTTTCATTATAGGTTACTACAAGATATTAAATATAGCTCCCTGTGCTATACAGTATAAATGTGTTGTTAAGCTATTTTATATATATTAGTTAGTATCTGCAAATCCTGAACTCCCAGTTTATCCTTTTCCACCCCTTTCCCCCTGGTACCCATAAGTTTGTGAGTCTGTTTCTGTTTTGTAAACAAGTTCATTTGTGTACCACCTCTTCTATTTATCTACTCCTCTTAGGTTGCTTCTGTATCTTGGCAATAATGTGCTATGAACATGGGGGTGCACGTATCTCTTTGAATTAGTGTTTTCGTTTTTCCAGGATATATACCCAGGAGTGGAATAGCTGGGTCCTACGGTAGTTCTATTTTTAGTTTTTGAGGAACCTCCATACTATTTTCCACAGGGGCTGCACCAATTTGCATTCCCACCAAAAGTGTAGGAGGGTTCCCTTTTCTTCACATCCTCACCAACATTTGTTGTTTGTGTTCTTTTTGATGGTAGCCGTGCAGAGGGAGATTTCTAAATTAGGAATCAGTTCATATCACCTTTTTGCATGAAGCCCTCCCTCGGTTTCCCATCAGAGTGAACTCCAACCCTGGACCATTCTGGTCCATGCTTCCCTCCCCCCATGCTCATCTCACTCCGGCTGCTGGAACAGGTGTATCCTTTGCATCACAGGGCCTCCGCCAGACCGGCCACCCCCATAGCTCCTTGGGCTTCCATGGCTCCATGGAAAAGTCACCCTCCCACAGAAAGGCCTTTCGTGACCACCTTTCCACGTAAAATAATGCCTCCCCCACACACTCTCTATTTCCTCAGCCTGCTTTGCTTTCATCATAGCACTTTATACATATATATTTTTAAAACTGAAGTGCAGTTGAGTTACAATGTTGTGTTAGTTTCGAGTGTACAGCAAAGTGATTGAGTACTACATCTCTATATTCTCTTTTAGATTCTCTTCCATTATAAGTTATTATAAAATATTGAATATAGTTCCCTGCATAGCACTTTGAATATTCATCTATTTATCTATCTTGTGGTTAAAGGAGGAGGCAGGAGAGAGTATCTACCTACTTGTTGGTTATTTGTCTCTCCCTCTGGAATGGTGCTTCTAACACAGCAGCCACTAGCCACGTGTGGCTCTTCACATTTAATTAAAATTAAATAAAATGTAAAATCCAGTTTTCAGGTGCGCTAGCCACGCTTCGAGTGCTCAGTAA